CACAAATTGCGCGCTCCAATCTTTCATCGCAGCCCTGCGATAGGCGGCGGGTGCGGCGTGTGCGACGCCGTGTTAGGGGAGAAGTTCCCGGACCCAAGGGTAGAGGCAGATTGGGGGGTAATAATGATGTATTGCACTGAATTTTCTGAATAAAAGAAAAATTTACCTATATTTATTTAAATGACCATGTAAAGTAACAGCTAAAGTGTCACAGCGAACTGAAATGTGAGCCGTATTAGAGCATTTAATCGACCTTGCTCTTCATCAACGCATGAAACAAGGCCAAAGGGAAGCACAAATGTGGGTAGCTGGTTGGGCGGGTCGTAATATGCCGGTTTTTCTTTCTAGAGCAGCTGTTTTTAGAGCCGTCTACGTGGTTCAGCAGCTCTCGGTCACCAACGTTCACGTCGTGAGGACTCCAGTGATTCAGGAGGAAAATTTTGTGGTTCGACAGTCCATGACGTTTCTCTTATCATTGCTTGCTTCTCTGAGCACTACGTTTGAGTGACCTTTAGAACGCTCTTTGTAGAAACTCCCTTTCAGTATGTCTTTTATGAAGAACTTGTCTTTCTTGGAACCATCTGGGCCTCTTCTCGGCAAAGAAGATAAGATGAGGACGGTCTCTGAACCCTTTAACAAACCCTTGAGAATAGGATCACTATTCAGCTTCGGTCTACACGTCTATATCGGGAACTTTTTGCAGTGGGAACCGAAAGACAAATTCCATCAGTTAAACAGAGTGTTACGAATGAAAACCTAATAAATCATCTCTAATACTTCCTATCACACAACTGGAATGCATACATATTTATCATGCGACGAGTCAATGTTGTAGGAAATGACTGTGGAAGTAAGTAATGAGCTGTTGTAACATTTGCGGGCCACTAGGAAGGATAATTGAATGAAGCAAATCGCCCTTCATGATCATCCTCTGGCTCTTAAAGTGACAGACGTGCTTATAGAGTCGAGAGAGCTTATAGGGAAGGGACAGTTGGGAAGGCATTCCAAAGATTTACTTTAAAGGTTCGTCCACTTACTTAACCTCAACGTACTTAAAGGCACAGTTCACGATAATTTCGGGTAATCAGATTATGATGAAAAATGGAAGACAAGATCGAAATTAGGGGGACTGAGGTGAAGAAACTGTGTGAATCGGTGCTTCCAAAGTGAAAAAAGGCTTCGAGAAATCGTTAAAAAGGGGGCTGGACGAGAATGAGACCAGAAAAATGAAGAAGAGGGGGGCGTTTNGACGAGCTATACAATGTGTTTCACTGCGTACGTGTGGGTCCTGGTGCGAATAACAGACAATGGTAAGCAAAAATCCATTCACTTATAATCATAAATAAACAAAAAACCCTAGTAACAGCAAAAGTAGCTCACCTTTTTCAGCCTCTAGGAGTAGGAAATTGAATAAGGGATCGCGGCAGCAAAAAGAAAAACAGGGAAAAAAGAAATGGAGAAAAACATCGCCTCATCACTCGGCGATTAGCTGATTGTGTGTGGGTCCTAGAACGAATAGTTGCAATCTGTATTGTCTCGAGACTCGTCCAACGTGACATCGATCGAGGGGCGTTAAAGCCAATCACGGCAGCAACTATGCTTCCACTATGCTCTAAGCGCCGAGATTGTGGGAGCGAGAGAGTCTCTTCTACCACCCATGGGAAGGCGCTGAGTATTCCTGAGGGAAGAACTCAGACACCTTTTTTTATCGTGAACCGTGCCTTTAACGGCGCCTAAAAAGATTTGGAAAGAAGGTATGTTATCTTGACACTGAAGCAAGCACGAAAATCAAGGAATGGAACTAGGTTCACGCATCACGATGAATACTGTGAAATAGAGTACAACGGGTGTGGTGCAGTAGGAACGAAATTGTCGCTTCGCGGCGAGGGAGATGCCGCGCGCGAAGGAGTGCATTAGAATGCAACGGAAAGTAAGAAATCAGGAAAAAAGAATTAACAGTAGAATCATGCCAAAAGCAATGATTGGATAGCGATTGAGCTGTGTGAAGAACGCTGAACTGTTATAACCAGACAAATGGTCCGCGACAGCCGCGTGCAGCGGATCGATTACACGAAACCGTTCCTACTGCCCGTCTCCCGAGTACAACAGACACAAGATTTGACGGGCAATATATTTCGTTCTAGGACAGCCTTGTTACTGTAAGCACTCCTGATCCCGTCACATACACGACTACGTGTAACTGCTTGGCTGGCTACGTCATAACCAAGGATTCCAGAGCAGCTACACACTGTTAAGAAAGACTGTTTGTCTTGAATACTCGTCATTGTGGTACAGGCCCTTCGAATCTAAAATACTTCTTGTGTGACATCTACACATTTGAGGAATCTTCTCAGCTCCATGTACAGAAGTGTTAAGGAAGTTCTGTCTGCTGGTATCTGTTGTTTCGGCACCACCCGTTGAACAGCTCACCTTTTACTGTGGTTTACCTTAATTTAAGCCATGAAACAATATAGATACCGTGAATGTCTGCAGAATTACATTTGAAGGAGGTTTATTTCAAGAGTAAGGAGACTTTCAGCAACAACATCGATGGGATGGGGAAAAATCGAAGTGCCATGGAGTAGCGTCATTATGGCCGAAAGGCTGGTATACCTGCACCATCACATCCGATACGTGGAACACTCCTTCACAGGCAATCTGGAGACCGAATAGATGAAAGGATTCGGAACTTTCACGCTATACGTAACGTCTGTTTTTGTGACGAAGTGTGACAATCTATCATTTTTCTTATCATTCTTACAGGAAGTGCTGTTTCGATGTCCATGGAATTGTTTTTGTTTTGTCGACTTTTGAGAAACTAGTTCATTCCGCAACACAGCGCCGTCATGGTACCAATACAACTTTTGCCCTCGAAACCCCAACAGGTGCCAGGGTTGTATAGTCGTGGTAGGTTCATGTCGTGTCTGAGCTATTACCGGGCAACTACTTGCCTCTTGGCGACCTTTCACCAGATGGAAGACCCATTGATATCAGTTAACCTAAAAGCTTTTCCCAGCGTTAACTTCAAATGAGGAATGGGGCTATCATAGAATAGCAGTCCGAATGGCTCCTAACACTGAAGTGCTACACCTCACTGACTACAGGCAAGGCTGGTCTTTATTTATCGCCCCTTTGTATTTGTGGCACTCGCAGAGAGTCTCAGATAAGATTACAATAATTTTTGCTTACCTTCGAAAGTCGAGAGTGGTTTTCTAACGCTTCTACTTTCATTTTCATGGACTAGAGCCCACTTATCTTGTAGAGAACTCGCTGTTTGTAAGTACAAGGCAGTCCCGCCCATTTGCGAAGGCGGCCCTTCCTGAACTCTCTTGGTCTTCATTCAAGACTTGTGGTCGCCCTATTCGGATTTTTACAATACAATTACTTTGAAGAAATTTTATAAGCATAAACGCATTGGACAAACTTGTACAACATATAGTGATTAACACTTTCTGTGTTTTACTAAAAAGAATTATCACAGGCACTGTTGTTCGTTGGATATCCGCCATCCCATTAATGGAAGGAGTTGATTATGCACCTTTGTTTGGTGCGAGTGGAGCAGACACGTAAGTAGGCACGGGAATTATTGTGGCTTGACAGCAGCGAAGAAGTTCCAGTTGTGATTATCGTCAGCGATGTACTGCAGTTTTGAGTTCCAGCCACTTACCAATCCATCGTAGGCATTTTGTGAGAATTTCTGAAGAGCCCATAGGACCAGCGGATGAGTAACGATGAAACCTTACTAAGACCTACCGCCAGGAACGTCTGCTTGTTCTGTTCAAGCCGTTCTCTTTCTTCCAATAGAATTTCCTTGAATCTCGGCGTCATGTTCTCGACTTCGATGTCGATGAAGCCGACTTTCTTAGCTATCTAAACAGGTCCCGGTAAGTTATTCCAATGCGATCTGATAAGGGAATCAAGTACCACGCCCA